TGCCCCTGGGCTGGCCCCGTATGTTCTCAAACTGCCCCTGGGCTGGCCCCGTATGTTCTCAAACTGCCCCTGGGCTGGGCCCGTATGTTCTCAAATTGCCCCTGGGCTGGGCCCGTCAGGTGGACCTGGGCCGGGTGGATTGCAGCCATGGCCACCTGATTGCAGGCACTGCAGCAATTGCCTTCAATTTTCATGTGGATCATTACAGTCAATCCCCTGGACCCCAGGGTAATAAATGCTGGCAGGAATACCCCACAATTGTTTTCTGCTGTACTCTCATTGCATTCTTTATAAGGGACGCTGGACCCGCTTTCCAGCAGGTGATGCTCCCCACCAATAGATGGAGCCTCTTCCCAGCTGTAAGTGGCGTCTGCTCTTATCAGCACCACTAACACTGATGGGGGCGAGTTAAAAAAAAAAAAAAAAAAGATCATCCCTGCCTAGAGGCAGAGGGTAGTAACTATTGCAGGTAAGGAGGCTTTACAATCAACAAGGTCCTACAAGTAGCAATGACGGACCGCAAATTTGAACTGCGCCAGGCTTGGTACCATGAGTGGTTTCATCCTGCGTCCCACATCTCTGCCTGCATAGTACATGGACCTCGCCATTACATGGTCGTTGTCGATGCCCCTGGCCTCTGGGAGCTGTGGGAGAACGGCACCATGGTCCATGCCATGAATGATGCAAGGTATTTCCTTCGGAATGATGATGCTTTCTTGCTTTACGAAACTCTGTACCTTCGTTTAAGGATGCCAAGGATGTCAAGGATGACATCTCTGCCCCTGTGCTGTGGCAAAGCACAATGTGTCAGCGCTTTGTGACCCGCCTTGTAGCCTTCCTTCTCCTCTGCACAGCTACAGACACTGTTACACTCGGCTGCGGCCGTCACACTGGCTGTGTCGCAATCACTACAATGCCTGGGTTTCAGTGTGTGCAGAAGGCTGGCCCTCCTATCCTGACTGCGTACACGCTCCCCGTCCGGACATCATATGTCCATTCTGCAGGCGGGGACATTACAATCAATGCATGGTCTTCTGTGATGCCGGTTCTTCCTGTTAGGCTGCAACACACATCCCATATGCCTGGAGTTTGTTGGTTGGCATATGCTTAAACCGCTAGTACGCAGCCCCAGCCTTGCAGAAAGTTTTTGTCGCCGCACGCAAAACTCGGAGGGGCCGCGCAGCCAGGCCCGCCGTTAAAAAAAAATTGGCGGCCTCCAAAGTGGTGCCGGTTTCGCGGCCTCCAAAGTGGTGCCAGTTTCGTGCTGACACCCGCGGGCCGATATGTGCTGTACTGGAGCTTTAATGCCAGCTGCCATGGCAACTGTTGTTCCGAGAAAAAAGCTCAGCTAGGTCTTCCATGTCATCACCCACCCCATCCCTACCATTCATGCCCCTCTCTGTCGTCAAGGACAGACCGACTCATGAGTCTTCTTTCATCTACCCTCCGGTTGACTTCCTTTGCTTTGCCGACCTCCCTTTGTCGTTTGTTCCTTACTTTGTCTCCCTTCCATCTTTCATCGCTCTTTGTCCCCTCTCCAGTTACTCTGCCTCTTATTCATAGTGTGCAAGTGGGCCGTTATGGCACATGGGGATTCGGGCAGCTCGCGCTCATCAGCATCAACCTGGCGAGCCTTGTACGCAAGAGGCAGAGCACAGGGGGAGCTTAAATCACTAGTACACGGCCCCAACCTTGCATTCCGTAACTTGTCGCCACAAGAAAACGAGGCCGAAACGTCAAACGCTGGGCCTGCGGTTGATAAATTGGATCAGAGGTCGCGTTTTCGTTTCGCGCTTCCAGAATTCGAGGTGTCAGGCCCGCGGCCCAGGTGCCCATGTACTGGTGCTTTAAAGAAGAAATAAAAGAGAGACCACAAAAAAATGCCAAAGGAAAGAGAAGGGAAGAAGAACGGCACAGGAAGAGGCAGAAAAAAAGGTTCCAGCATGTTTTTCTTTTAGTCGATAGATATGTGACAACATGTCTTATTTTGACATAATAAATATAAAGGATTTCTTGCTGTTAGTATCATCTGAATTGCCATATGCATGTCACTGACAGTTATGCTTTTTGATGACTTCGTCTTCTTGACTGTGCGTGCTGCGGAGAGGGGGGGGGGAAGGGGTTAACTGTGGTGTGGGGAAAACGGAGGGAGAGTATCTGTTGATACCTCTATATCTACTATATCTAGTCAGTTAATTTCTCCCTATTACATACTGTGGAGGCTCTTGGCCTCGCCATAGCTGTATCGGTTTGCAGGGAGCTGGTATTGTCCTTATGGCCGGAATTTCGAGACGCATCCGAGAGATCCAACAAACAGGCAAGCATCCTCAGTCTTACTCCTTATGCACAACCTTTCACCATTTCTCTGTTCTTTCACCTTCTTGGTTATGATCCAAGGAGCGGAATTTAAAAGCATCTGAGAGGGTTCAACGAGCAGGGAAGCATCCTCGGCATCCCCTTCGCCTTTCTTGTTATGCACACACATACAATACAAAAACTCCAATTGGCACCCTTTCACTGTATCTCTGTTCTTTCTACTTCCTTGTCATCATCCATTGAGCTCTTATCTGTTGTTTGCGGCATCCTTCGCCTTACTTGTTATGCACACACACTGTTACATCTTCGACTCACACGGGTCCTACCGGACCCGACTTAGGGCCGGAGGGACACACCAGGGCCTAAAGGCCCGACCTTTGGGGTT